CTTAGTGTCCTCATTGTTGTCTAAGTTCTCTGGGATTGTGATTTGTAGGCTGGTTTTCTTTGCTTTATGTTTAAAAAACACCTATGAGTCTTTAGTCATCAGAGAAATGCAAACCAAAGCAACTCTGAGATTCCATCTTATACCTGTAAGAATGGCCAAAATCAAAAACACTGATGACAGTTTATGCTGGAGAGGTTGTGGGGAAAAGGTAAAACTTCTGCATTGCTGGTGGCAATGCAAGCTGATACAACCCCTTTGGATGTCAGTATGGTGATTTCGTAGAAAATTAGGAAACAACCTTCCTCAAGACACAGTAATACCACTTTTGGGTATATATCCAAAGGATGCTCAATCGTGCCACAAGAACATGTGCTCAGCTATGTTCATAGCAGCTTTGTTTGTCATAGCCAGAACCTGGAAACAATCTAAATGCCCCTCGACTGAAGAATGGATAAGGAAAATGTGGTGTATTTACACAATGGAGTACTACACAGCAGAAAAAAATAATGACATCTTGAATTTTGCAGGAAAATGGATGGAGCTAGAAAACATTATCTTGAGTGAGGGAGCCCAGACACAGAAAGACAATTATAATATTTTGTCTATTTTTATACATACTTAATTTTTCATTGAAAAATACCTTACTCACATTTAGTATGTGTTTGTGTGTGTGTGCATATATTTATGTGGGCATATATGCTCTATGAGATATATGTGGGGAGGTCAGAGGAGTAGGGGTCAGAGGAATAGTGTGTGTAGGGGGAGGGGAGTCAATTCCCTCCTTATACCATGTGATTCCCAGGGACCAAACTCAAGTTGTCAGTTTTGGCTGCATGTGCCTTGACCCGCTGAACCATCTCACTGGTTCCAGGAAAAATACTTTAAAAGTATATATATATATATATATATATATATATATATATATATATATATAGATATATAGATATATAGATATATAGATATATAGATATAGATATATCAATGTTTTCTATCTAAGTTCAAAAGTATAGGAATCTAACTAGACCTCTAGTTCACACTTGCTGGTGCTCAGGAGGTTGCAACAGGAGAATATCAAGTTGAAAAGCAGCCTAGGATGCATCCTGAGACTTTGTGAACACCACATAGAATCTACTAAGGAGTTATTTGAAAGGCTGTAAGTATGACTGACAAATCTTAGGTACACTAACCAAAAGAAAGAGAAAGGAAAATTTTAAAAGTCTTAAATCAGACTCAGAAATAAACCACCAAAGGAGGAAGAGGAGGAGGAGAAAGGAAAAGGGGAAGTGAGGGAAGGAAGGGACACAATAGTCCAGGAATTGGAGCATTGAAAAGCCATTTACATATTCTTTCTGGTTTTCCAAGACACAGTTTCTCTGTGTGGTCTTGACTGTCCTGGAACTTGCTCTGTAGACCAGGCTGGCCTCAAACTCACAGAGATCCTCCTGTTCCTGCCTCCCAACTGCTGGGATTAAAGGTGTGTGCCACTACCACCCAGCTGTTTTCAATTTTAGTGCCCCAATTTGTTGTTAATCCACCCTGTTCTGTGTTCTAAGAGCTGACTTGGCACGAACCAGCGGTCCATGGATCAAAAGCTCTGCCTCTCTCCATCCTGTCTGCATCTGCTGTACAGGTGGAAGGGGCTCAGAGTGCACACATGTGCCTCCTTCCAAACCTTGGAGCTGCCCGTCTTTGTTTGTAGAGCTCTCTGCAGTCCCTGCTTCCAGTCATTTTAGAAAATGAACTTTACCAAAGAAAAGATGAAAAAGGCCAAGTGGCCAAGTTGGAAAGTCTGCATCCTGGGAACCAGATATTGCTATAGCCTCTTCTGTTTCATTGTCACGCAGCCCTGACTATTCTCAGTCATCTCCCCAGGCTCTCTGCCTGTTCCTTCTGCCTTGCTGTCTCACCTCCCTCCTCACCCAGGCCTTTTAATGCAAGTTTTGTGGATGCCTTGCTTTGTTGCAGCCACAATTACTCAAAGAACAGTAGGTGTCCCTAGCTGTAGCACATGGAAACTCGCTTTAAGATTGATTGTGCACATTGGACACTTTGTTAACCTCATACCCTTTCATTTCCAAGGCTTTCCCAATTTTCCTCTAAACTAAGACCCACGAATGCCTTATCCCACTAATGTGACATACACATAAGCCAGTGTCACTGAACTTGTCTCAAGTCACAGGGATGAAGGAGGCAGATGGTCTGGACAGAGGAATGCTGGCATCTGAGCTGAGGTGCCGTATATATCCCCAATGTTATCTGTGCATCTGTGAGCCTCTCACCAGAATGGGCTTCTCCATTGCAGGGTAGAATGGATTGAAGCATGTGTGCCCCCTTTTGGTACGTTACTCTGCATAGTAGGGATTTGTGCATATATAAGAGATAAAGCAAAGATCCTCAATACTAGACAGCTGTGTGTTTCAAATCTGTGTCACTAATGGTAACAATGGAGTGTGTTCATGAAACATCATTTTCGTCCATCCTTTCAGCTATTTTGAGAGGCAGGGCTGTTCTTAGCATCATTTTTCAAATCAAGAGAACAGGATTCCACTGGTTATTCACTGCCCAAATCAGAGAGTTAGGATATAGTGGAGGTTCACACATGGTAAGCCACTAGCCCCCAGCCTGTGCTCTACCCAGGGCCTTTTCCTGACCCTGAGAGTAAGCCTGACCTAGTCTAGACACTCCAGACCTGTGCTACCCTAACCCTTCATGCCTTTAATTAAAATTAAAAGCAAGTAATTAATCAAAGCTTTTATATTCATGTACAAGGCTGTCTCTCCATAAAGGTAGTTCAAGAGATCTATGTTGTATATGGGTAAGAAAAGTTTTTATAGTTCAGGAATAGAGGGTTTCAAAATGGGGGGGGGTAGAAGGCAAATAGGTAGGGTTATAGAAACAGAACCTATAACAAGTTGGCCATAGCAATCTCTTAAAACAAAGATATGGTTGCAAGGTGGTCATAACAAGGTAGTCATAACAATATGGTTATAACAAGGTAGTCATAACAATGGTCATAAGTCCAACTATACAGCTGCTAATTACCATCAAGATGTAAGTGCCACCATTGCAGGAGAGCCTGCTTGTTTGTCCTGGCTTCCCAGAACCGAAATAACCACACAGAAATTGTATTAATTAAATCATTGCTTGGCCCATTAGCTCTAGCTTCTTGTTGGCTAACTCTTACATCTTAATTTAATCCATTTCTATTAATCTGTATATCATGATGAGGTGGTGCCTACGAGCAAAGTTTCAGCATGTCTAGCTCTGATGGCGGCAGATCTATGGCGTTCCTGGACTCTGCCTTCTTCCTCCCAGAATTTTGTTTAGTTTTCCCCACCTAGCTCTGTTCCCCTATAGCTCTGCTACAGTCCCAAAGCAGTACCTTTATTAACTAATGAAAGCAACACATAGACAGAAGGACCTCCTTCACCATTTCTCCTTTTCTGTTTAAACAAAAAGGAAAGCTTTAACTTTAACATAACTAAGGAAAACTATAAATTTTTCAACTCCAGAAGGTTTTAATATTACCTAGATAAACAGGAAGTCCATTGTAAGCAACTTTCAAAACTCTAGAATTGACAGAGACTTCAAGTTGCCTGGACAGTCACCCAAAGTTTTTCTGTACCATTGGGGCATCCATCTTCAGCCTACAGGCCCATAGTATTCAGCAGACTTTTTAATGAAGCAGGAAATTTCAAAGACAGTTCAGTCACTTTCTTCTGTATCCTGCAGAATGTCTCACAGACTCCTTCATGAAGCAGGAACCCTGAAGGATCATCTCACCTTTAGGCAAGTTCAGCAGTCATTTCTCTGTGGATCCTGCATGTCCAGTTCATCTAACAAACTTCATAAGGAGCTTCTTCAATGTCCATCTTCCTCTTGAAATCGATTTGTGCTGCCAGGAGCATATGTGTCTCACTGTCATGAAAAGTCCTAAATTTTTTAAACATTTTAAATGCCATATTCTGAAGGTCTCTGAAATATTTGAAGAATACCTAACTGAAATATATCTCTATGTATCTAGAAAACTAACATGACTACAAACTTGACTATTATAGATGATTATCTATTCACCTATATTTTTAAATTATATATTACACTTTTAAACGAGCCACACAAACACAATACATTAATCAAGGTCAGAAATACATATAACAAAATTGACCTTAAATTCGTATCAATAAACCAAGATCCATACCAATGCAAATTATCTGTATTGCACCTTTAGGGATATCATAATGTGCTGGTCATTGTTAGCGTTCATAGGCATCGTAGCTGGGTATGACTGTTGTTTTCTTTTTCTTTCTTACATATCACCTTCCTGTACTGTGAAAACTAATCCTCAAGGAACAGGCTGGCAGGTCAGATCCAACTCAGTTCCTCCAAGTCTTGCAATTGAAGTTCACAGTGTCCCATCAACAATCACTTTCAAATTCTGACAGTCTACAGTTTACATGAACTTTGATGAACTTATGCTAAGTGAAATAGCTAATCATAAAAAGATAAATACTGTGAGATTTTACTTATAAGAGTATATAGTCTAATTCAGAGAAGCAGGCAGTAAAATGGAGGTTGCCGGATTCTAAGGGGAATAGCAATAGGGATCCAGTGTCTAGTGGGGCCAGTTTCCATTTAGAAAGACAAAATGTTCTGGAGGTGAAAGGGACATTCGCTGCAGCTAATGTCACTGAACTGTGTGGTTGAAATGGTAGCTCACATTAAGTGTATTGACCCCGAAGTTAATAGCAAGGTTTAGAATGAGTCTGAGTCTGTCCCATGATTATGATCCCAGGTGCTATCCAAGAGGAAGTTGAGACCATCCTCTCTTGCCAGCCTCCACGTTGAGCTGGTGATCAACTGGCCAGGAAGCACCTATGGCATCCAGGAAGCAAACGACCTACCTCCAGCAACTCTCCCCTACCTTAAATGCAGCTGCTTTTGTTGAACAGTAAAGCACAGGAGAGGAGATAACATGCCCTTGTGCTCTCATTTGTCCCCAGGTGGCAGTGACAGAAGACTCTTGCGGCTGAAGCTGTGGTGCTTGAGGCGGAGGAAGGAGTCTCCTAACTGGTGCCACATACATCAGGTCAAACCATTTCTTCATTTTTTAGCCACACCAACCAAATCTTACTCCAGAGTAGGAGCCAGATGCAGATAGGACATCACAAATGACTAGCTCTGAAATTATGACCTCCTGCCTGAGACCTCGGTCCCCACATCCTGGCACTGGGGATTTTTACCTTCCCTTCCCACAGCAGTTAACACACTGTCATAGCCAGCCAAATAAGGCCAGTGTGCCTTGCTCCAAAGATACAAAATCTGCTCACTGAGAACTCCCATCCTCTGATTATCAGAGAAGGAGGAACAAAAGGTATTCATCAGCAACACCATGCAGCATGTAAAATTAACCACGTACTTGATGGTATAAGATTGTGCAGCATCTGTGCTGGCATCAGTGAACTTCCCATAAAGGCCCACGTGGTGATCACTTTAATTCTGTGGACTTCATGGTCTCTGCTACTCAACTCGTTCATGTGCTGGTGACTGACTTCCAATAACAAAACAGAGAGAGGGCCGCATTTGACCAGTCATCTACATGATGCTAGATGCATCTATTTCTTATCACCCTTCACCGAGAATACAAATGGCTCTGAAACTGGTTTCTCCAGGTGACAAACTCACCAGCTGTTTCGGGCCCTCAACTTGTCCCTCGGCCTGCAGCTGTTCTATTCAGGACATCTGACATCCTGTGAATATGGTGGGGTTGTCACTGTGAAAATGGGAACTCAGGTAGGGAGCAGATTTTTAGCAGTCATCATGAGTAAGTATGTAGTTCCAGTCAGCCAGGACTGAACTGAGAGTCTCTCTGATAGCTGATAGGTTAGACTTCAGCGTGTTGGAAGACATAGCACAGATCCCAGTGCCTCATCTCACAGGGCTGCAGAGGATTGATACCTTTGGTTGGCTTTAATGATGTAACAGCTTGCGTGTAAAGAAAGGGAAATATTCAAAAACGAATTCAGAACTGTATAACGGAGGTGGTAGGGATTTCTTCTGGCTTCTGGGACTCTGAGGGGTGTGTGTGTGTGTGCATGCGTGTGTGTGCATGCACATTCCCTCTGGTCCATTGCATGGTGAGATGCCCTTCTCTTGTCTCCTGCAGATGGATGGTCTCTAGCCTGCTTCCAAACCCGCCCTCGGCTGAGTGCTGGGCAGCACTTCTACATGATCCTATGACGCTTGATATGGACGCAGTCCTGTCAGACTTTGTTCGGTCCACGGGGGCAGAACCTGGTCTGGCCAGAGACCTGCTGGAAGGTATGTGGACCTCATTGTTCCCAAACTACCCATTCAGGCTTGGACAGAAGATAAGGGGTCCTCACTGCCTGGCAATGGTGTCACCCATTTGGACAGCATTTGGCTACTTTTGAAGTAAATCAAAGTGTTAATGTTGAGGATGGACTTTTTCTATTTTGCTTGTCATTATTTAGGATAGGACATGGGTCACCAACTGTAAATGTGCACAGATGAGGAAGATGGCACAGGAGAATGCTTCCAGAGAGTGAGTCCAGCTGATCACTTTTTAAGAATAATATACTACTACAATGAAGTGGAAATTCTTGAACACTCAAGTATATACTTTCCATGGAGATCTTTCCTTCATATCTTTGTCTTAACTGAGACACAAATATCTTAGGCCAAAGTTATCATTGAAGAAACCTTCTAATATAGCCAGGAAATCAAAATGCACCTTTGGGCTTTTCAGGTAGAACTCTTGAGACATGGAAAGTATGTGCCTGATGTATATGGCCTATTTCTGGGGCTCTACTCAGCACAGACTGGAGTTAACCTTGGTTTTTCCTCCCGAGTGATGATGCTGATGAAGCAAGGAAAAGTGAAGAACTGATCACTGCTGCTCAGACTTTTGGGCATGAGGAGCAACGGCTTGTGTTTCAGAACTGATCTGCCTCAGATCACTGTTTGTGGAGTTGGGAACCTTGAGCATTATAAGCCACAGTGATTCTCAAGGTCACTAGAGAAAACTGACTTACTAGGCATTTTCATAACTAGGGGTAATTCCTGAACGTTGGAAGCTCTTGTTGGGGTACCAAGGAAATCCTAGCGCATGGTCTGAGCAGGAAATGGGAGGAGGGGAGCAGGGAAGGCTGTCATGGGTGAACTGGGGATGAGACTGGTGTGTGTGTGTGTGTGTGTGTGTGTGTGTGTGTGTGTGTTTGTGAATACCCATTTGTGAATTCTAATTATAGAAGAAGATGTCATAATATTTTAGGGTTGGGGCATAGGAAGATTAGAAGTTTATACTCATGTATGAACCTCTCAATTTTTATTTTTATTTATTTATTTATTTATTAAAGATTTCTGTCTCAATTTTTAAATGAAATCAAAACAAATGGAAACAGAGAACAGAGGGAGAAGAGTAAATATTTTTTCAAGAGGTATGTCTTGAAAAAGTATACACGTGTGTATGTGTATATATCCTTAAGATTTTAACAAGGCTGATTTATATTGCCTCTAAATAGGGAGTTTTATTTCTTCTTTCCCAATCAGCTCACTATGATTTCCATAAAAGGTTGAATGAAGATATGTAAGGTGCCCCTAATTCAGGGAAGGTGGCCAGGCATTCACCTTTAGGCAGAGAAAAGACTTCAGGCTTTTGTATATGCTCTTGGTCCAGCAGGGGACACACAGAATTTACAGAAAACTTTGTCCAGATTTGGTGCTGGGTTCTTTCCAATGGACTTTCTGTATCCGTGAACAACATAGCAATTTCTCCCCTTCGCTGTTGGCCTTTGCGACTGCACCACCTGCTCTCTCGTGATACTCAACCTTCCAGCAGTTACTCTGCCTGTTCTTCTGCAGCATGCCTCTCTCCTCTGCTTCTGGGACTTAGATGATGTCCTGTCACGACCTTTGCTGCTGCCTGTGGGCTCCTCTGGCTCTGTTAATTGCCTGGCTCCAGCTTGTCTTCTGTACATTGTTTGAAATAAATCGCTGCTAATGCTATCTTTATAGATTTAACAGTCCTTTCACCCTTTTGTCAATTCCACACAGGTTGTAGTCACCTGAGTAGAGGGAGCCTCCGAGAGGACCACTGTGGGCAGTGCTGTCCCTGGGCAGGTAGTCCTGGTACATATAAGAAAACAAGCTAAGCTGATGGAAACAGATGCAGATCCACAGCAAAACACTGGGCGGAGTTCAAGGACTCCTGCAGAAGAGGGGGAAAAAAGGATTGGAGGAGCCAGAGGGGTCGAGGACACCACAAGCAAACCCACAGAATCATCTAACCTGGGCTCACAGAGGCTGAGCTGACAACCAGGGAGCCTGCATAGAACTTCCCTAGGCTCTCTGCATATTTGTTACAATCGTATACCTTGATCTTTCTGTGGGACTCCTAGTGGGAACAGGGGCTATCTCTGGCTCTTTTACTGGCTGTTGTACCCTACTACTCCCCATACCAGGTCCCCTTGTCCAGATTTAATACATGGGAGGTGCTTAGTCTTACTGTAACTTGAAATGCCTTGTTTTGTTGATATTCATAGGAGACTTGTTCTTTCCTAAACAGAGAGGGAGGTGTGATGGGGGTGGTCTTGTATCTTATCTGTTGCTTTCATTGGTTAACTAATAAAGAAAACTGCTTGGCCTGATAGGACAGAAAATTAGATAGGCAGAGTAGACAGAACAGAATGCTGGGAGAAAGAAGCCGAGTCAAGCAGTCGCCATGATTCTCCCACTCCAGACAGACGCAGGTTACGATCTTTCCTGGTAAGCCAGCTCGTGTGCTACACAGATATTAGAAATGGGTTAGATCAATATGTAAGAGCTAGCCAATAAGAGGTTAAAACTAATGGGCCAAGCAGTGTTTAAAAGAATACAGTTTCCGTGTAATTATTTCGGGTAAAGCTAGCCAGGTGGCGGGAAGCAGCCCCGCTGCTCCCACTACTACAGAGGAGGAGTGGATTGGGGGTGGGAACAGAGGCAGGGTTGGGAAGAGGGACTCGGAGGAGAGGAGGGAGGGGAAACTTCAGTAGGGATATAAAATAACTAAATAAATTATTTTAAAAGAAGGGAGAAAAAGAAAGCTGGGCAAGCCATCAGGAGCAAATCAGTTAGCAACACTCCTCCATAGGCTCTGCTTGGGTTCCTGCCCTGACTTCTCTTGATGGACTGTTATGTGGAAGTCTATCACAAGCTGCCTTTCATCCTGGTCTTCATTGTAGGGAAGGAGGCTCTCCAGGCAGAGCTAGTTTTAATTCCCTGGTTTCCCCTTCCCTTGCTGTGGAGAATGATTTGGGATTCAGGGCACAGAATAAGAAATTTTAGGGATAAAAAGGTGAGGCATTTCCACATTTCTTAATATTGCAAAGACCTTTTCTGTGTCCAGAGGCTGAGGGCTTCCCAGCAAGGAATGCCCATTTCTAGTTGAGACTGCACTGTGTTCTTATGAAGAACATTGAAGAAAAAGGACAATTTCCCAGTTTTGTGGGAAATTGTAGTGTAGCCATCTCCTTCATCTGTCTGGGCTCGTTTGCTTTGACTTTGGCTTCTTGTTTATATTTATTTACAGATTGACAAATAAAGTTATATGTGTGTATAATGTAGAGCATAATATTTGCAATGCAAATAGGCAAACATACGTACATACATACATACACACACACATCGTGGCATCATGACATGTCTAAATCTAAATCTGTACATCTCTTATACAAGGATCATTTTGTGTTGATAACACTTAAGTGATAAACATGGATGAGCTGCTATCTCTAGACTAGGATATGGAGTCTTTGGGTCTGAATTATATGGTGGGTCTTCTTTTAACTTGATTGAAATCCACACTGATTTCTATAGTCATTGCAATAGTTTTCATTCCCACCAGCAATGAATAAATATGTTCCCTTCCTACATTCATGCTAGGATTCATCATCATTTGTGGGATGGTGGTGGTGGTGTTAGCAATTCTGACTGGGGTAAGAAGAAATCTCAAAGTAGTTCTATTTGCATTTTCCCAATGACTAAGGATGTTGAATATTGTTCTCAGCTGTTTGTGTTCCATCTTTTGAGATTCTCATTTAGTTCTATGCCCCATTTTTTTAATTGGGTTGTTTTCTGGGTGTAGTGTTTTTAGTTCTTTGTATATTCTAGATAGTAAACCTCTGTCAGATATACAGCTGGTAACAATTTTTTTTCTTCAAAAGAAGAAAGCTGCCTCTTTACTTTAGCAATGGTGTCTATGTCCATTGGGAGTTGAGACTATTACTATTAAGAGTTATTGTTCAACAGTGTGTACTACTAATTCCTGCCATTTGGTGGCTTTTGTAGAGTTCTAGTAGGTCTCTCTTGATTCAGTGTTCTGAAATTGATTTGTTCCTTGTCCATTCTTCTGTATGTTTAACATTCTTTTCAGAACTAAGTGTTCCTTCCAGAATCCTCCCTAAAGCCAGCTTAGTAGTTAAAATTCCTTAAATTTTGTTTTGCCATGGAAGACTTTCCTTCTTTAATTCATTTGTGCTAGACTGGCATCTGTGGTCTTTTATAACTTGTTGAACATTGGTCTAATTCTTTCTAGATTTTAAGGGCTCTAATAAAAAGCCTGCCAAGATTCTAATGACCCTGTCATTGTATATGAGTTGGTCCTTTTTTCTTGTTGCTTTCAATATTTTTGTCTATATGTTTAGTGTTTTGTTTATTATATGACATGTGCAGCTTCTTTCCTGGTTCCTGTCTATTTGGTATGCCTCTTGGATCTTGATAATTATCTCTTTCCTTAGATTAGGGGAAGTTTTCTTCTGTGGTTTTTTTGTTCGTTTGTTTGTTTGAGACAGGGTTTCTCTGTTGTTTGGGTGCCTGTCCTGGAACTAGCTCTTGTAGACCAGGCTGGCCTTGAACTCATAGAGATCTGCCTTGTTCCGCCTCTTGAGTGCTAGGATTAAAATCCTGTGCCAGCACTGTCCATATCTTCTATGAGTTTTTAATTTATTATTTTAGTTAAAAATTATTATATAATAATGTGATCATTTTCTTTTCCTTCCTCCAATTCCTCCCAGATTCTCCCTCAACCTCCCACCCACCCAACTTTTTCATGTCCCCTCTCTGAAAAAAATATGTTAAAACACAAAAACCAGTAAGACAAAAATACCAAAACAAAATACACACCCAATAAATAATAATAATAGTGTTGGCCAACTACTCCTGAACATGAGGCCTGCCCTGTAGTATAGTTGATATATCCAGTGTCATTCCATTGGGGAAAAAAGAAAAGAACTGGTTTTCCTTTTCCCAGCAGGTATCAATTGCAG